GAGATTCAAGGGGTGTTGGATGAGACTCTTTGCATATAGCGCTTATCAGTAAATTTTTCGTTGAGAGTGCCGTCGTTGATGGAAGTATTGCGGCAGAATATCACTGAAATGTCACACCGTATACAAAGGCAAACCCTGTTGGCGCCTCCCATTGTTCGAGAATATGAGGTTATTCGTGATCGATGTCCAGTTTAAGGAGGCCTTAGCCCAAATCTTGCATCATCATTTGTATTGCCATCACAAATTCTTCTCATATCGCCTGTGTAGCTACCATGAAGTTCTTGATCATATTCAATGGGTCCTTCAATTCCCAGAATGCCCTGTTGGAAGCGTCGGGTTTGAGTCCAACAGAGCAATTAACTCAGTTTCACGATATGGGTTTGAAGTCTTTTTTGCCTTCCCCCTGTACACACTCTATTTTTGCTTGTTATCTTTACAGATACGCTATTTCTTCGTGTAGCTATGTCAGCGTAATTATGTTTGAAACGCTTCCTTACTAGAGATGCCCAGCTTAGTGCACTATTTATTGCTTAAGAATTCATATTTTGCTTTCTCATTTTGAAAAAAAAAACTGCGTTTTTGTTACAGCGTCGGGAACCCAGACACGTACCCAGACAGTCAGCTCTGCAGAGAAGAACAATACCGAAAGCACTGCCGTAGGTGTTTTGAGTGCACCGGCACTTATTCATTTCGATTTTTGTTGGCCATCTCCAGTTCTGTAATGATTCTCAAAAAAAAACATTTTCAGGCGACTGTCACGGACAAGGTCCCTCATGTTGCACTATCGAATAGTGACTCGGATAAGGTATCAAGAACCGTACTTGTTTCTGTCATATGGATGTCTGCTTTGTTCAGAAATGTTTTTTATTTCTTTAGCCCATCTTAAACTTCGTTTCCTTACTGATTTCGTACAAAAGCCATGGTCCTGATAGTCGAAATGACTTCATTGCGATTATCGTTCTTTTTTACAGACTTCTCAAACGACAGTTCCCACGGTACGGCTTGTGCAAATATCACCAGTGCCAAGCAATGTGAACAGTTTGCCCGATAAGCTTGCTCCTATTTCCATTAATGGCAGCGAAAACAAAGCTCCTGTGCATGGAGGCGTGACCTTATCGGTAGTAAGTATTATTTTCATTCTCTACAGAATTCTTAACCCAGTGAGGCCTTGTCTGTTTGCCTCGCGGTTGAACTTCCGATGACGCTTTCGAAAATTTTGTTAAAGCCACGGTCCGCGATTAGCGCACTCGCCTCCCATCCCGGGAGTAATAGGCAAGCAAACAGGTGTCGTTGTCGCACCCTGCCCCATTTTCTGCCGCTTGAACAAGTGCCCGGCAAAGGCACAAGCAGCTCGTCCGACCTGCAACTCACACCTTCGTCCGCAAGCCCCACCCTCCGCTGTCCGTTGCCACGTGGCGCTGCTTGAAAGCGCGGGCGCATTTGAGGCAGCGGTCCCACCGCGACCCTGTGTCAATGGCACTGGAGCAACTAGAGTCAGGCTCGCGAAACTCGTCCAACGCGCCTTTTCTCTATCCCAAGGTGGAATGTTGCTGAAATAGGGGAGGTTTCTGTACGGGGCGTAATCTGTGATTTCGTTTGCTTTCCTTCTCTTTTATAGACCACCTCCCACCTCTAGTATCATGACTGAACGCTTTTAGACACCTATTTTATCCCGAATCTTGCCTTTAAGTTCGTGACCGCATTAGTGGGGCAATTTATGTTCCAGGGACATTGCGTAGCCTATAGTTTCCTCGGAAAAAGGTAACCGAGCAGAACTCGGCAAGATTTCACAGAGGGCGGAGTGACTTCATAACGATCGGTAGCATATCAAAGAAACGCAATGCCAAGTTGACTTTCTCTCACCTAGGTGTCTCCTGTCAGTCGTGTGAATGAGTCACAAAATACAGCAACTCGTCTTCCAACTGTGTTCAATCACCCTCCTCCCGCAAACCCATCGCTGGTTGTGCAGACTCTTCCAACCCCTTCTACAACTATGCCATCAGTCACGCAGCCCCAGGTGAGCTTTTTTACGGAGGGTCTCTGTCATTGAATGTATTGTATGTAGTGTTCTATTGATTGTATGTAGTGTTACATCATGACAGTCACATTGTGCCAATTGTGGTAATCCCTATCACCAAAAATTTTCATCAAGGACAGAGACCCTCCGTAAAAAAAGCTCACCTGGGGCTGCGTGACTGATGGCATAGTTGTAGAAGGGGTTGGAAGAGTCTGCACAACCAGCGATGGGTTTGCGGGAGGAGGGTGATTGAACACAGTTGGAAGACGAGTTGCTGTATTTTGTGACTCATTCACACGACTGACAGGAGACACCTAGGTGAGAGAAAGTCAACTTGGCATTGCGTTTCTTTGATATGCTACCGATCTATCGTTGAAGTCACTCCGCCCTCTGTGAAATCTTGCCGAGTTCTGCTCGCTTACCTTTTTCCGAGGAAACTATAGGCTACGCAATGTCCCTGGAACATAAATTGCCCCACTAATGCGGTCACGAACTTAAAGGCAAGATTCGGATAAAATAGGTGTGGAAAAGCGTTCAGTTATGATACTAGAGGTGGGAGGTGGTCTATAAAAGAGAAGGAAAGCAAACGAAATCACAGATTACGCCCCGTACAGAAACCTCCCCTATTCAGCAACATTCCACCTTGGGATAGAGAAAAGGCGCGTTGGACGAGTTTCGCGAGCCTGACTCTAGTTGCTCCAGTGCCATTGACACAGGGTCGCGGTGGGACCGCTGCCTCAAATGCGCCCGCGCTTTCAAGCAGCGCCACGTGGCAACGGACAGCGGAGGGTGGGGCTTGCGGACGAAGGTGTGAGTTGCAGGTCGGACGAGCTGCTTGTGCCTTTGTCGCGCACTTTCAAGCGGCAAAAGGGGTGCGACAACAACACTTGTCCGCCTGCCTACTACCCCGGGATGGAAGGCGAGCGCGCCTAATCGCGGAGCGTGCCTTTAACAAAATTTTCGAAAGCGTCATCGGAAGTTCAACGGCGAGGCAAACAGACAAGGCCTCACTGGGTTAAGAATTCTGTAGAGAATGAAAATAATACTTACTACTGATAAGGTCACGCCTCCATGCACAGGAGCTTTGTTTTCGCTGCCATTAATGGAAATAGGAGCAAGCTTATCGGGCAAACTGTTCACATTGCTTGGCACTGGTGATATTTGCACAAGCCGTACCGTGGGAAACTGTCGTTGAGACAGTCTGTAAAAAAGAACATAAGTCGCAATGAAAGTCCATTTTGACTATCAGACCATGATGTACGAAAACAGTAAGGAAACAACGAAGTTTAGATGGGCTAAAGAAATAAAAAACATTTCTGAACAAAGCAGACATCCATATGACAGAAACAAGTACGGTTCTTGATACCTTATCCGAGTCACTATTCGATAGTGCAACATGAGGGACCTTGTCCGTGACAGTCGCCTGAAAAGGTTTTTTTTTTGAGAATCATTACAGAACTGGAGATGGCCAACAAAAATCGAAATGAATAAGTCCGGTGCACTCAAAACACCTACGGCAGTTGCTTTCGGTATTGTTCTTCTCTGCAGAGCTGACTGTCTGGGTACGTGTCTGGGTTCCCGACGCTGTAACAAAAACGCAGTTTTTTTTTTCAAAATGAGAAAGCAAAATATGAATTCTTAAGCAATAAATAGTGCACTAAGCTGGGCATCTCTAGTAAGGAAGCGTTTCAAACATAATTACGCTGACATAGCTACACGAAGAAATAGCGTATCTGTAAAGATAACAAGCAAAATAGAGTGTGTACAGGGAAGGCAAAAAAGACTTCAAACCCATATGTGAAACTGAGTTAATTGCTCTGTTGGACTCAAACCCGACGCTTCCAACAGGGCATTCTGGGAATTGAAGGACCCATTGAATATGATCAAGAACTTCATGGTAGCTACACAGGCGATATAGAAGAATTTGTGATGGCAATACAAATGATGATGCAAGATTTGGGCTAAGGCCTCCTTAGACTGGACATCGATCACGAATAACCTCATATGCCTGAACAATGGGAGGCGCCAACAGGGTTTGCCTTTGTACGGTGTGACATTTCAGTGATATTCCGCCGCAATACTTCCATCAACGACGGCACTCTCAACGAATAATTTACTGATAAGCGCTATATGCAAAGACCCACCAACACCCCTTGAATCTCAAGAGGACCTGTGTACCCATTTGGAGAAGATTATATAGGAGAATAGAAGTGACTACTCTTTGGTCAACGATGACTAACGAAATTCGAGAGTGCAAGTTAATGCTCTACGACATCTTGAGAAGCTCAATCCAATTACTACGGTCACAGACTTTCGCAATAAACAAACTTCTACATCAAACGCTGACTCGGCAACAATAGATTCAATCCTTATATATATAAATCGCTGACTCGGTGTGTCGGTTTGTATGTCTGTGTGTATGTATTTCTGCCTGTCCGACCACAAAATGAAGTGAGTGATAAAGGAGCTAATGGAATAAACTAACCGCTGAACAAATCGGGTAGCTAGCAGGACTTGACTATCAATGTTTTGCAATGGCATGATTGTGATAACACCTACGGCTAAATGAACACCTTCTAGCACACTTCCGGTCATTCCACGTGGTGCTGCACGTGCAGCGGAGGCGGTGGAGGCAGAGAGATGGGAGGGAAGGCGAAAAACCAATCTATTAAACAGATTTAAGGTGCATATTAGGTGATATTATGTCATTCTACCGTTGTGTCATGATTACGGCGATACCCCCACTATATGAAACTCCTTTTCTGAGTGCGCGTCACCTCAACGAGGTGTTGTTGTCACAGTAGAAGGGACGACAATGGAAGGCGGAAAATTTACGCAGAGAAGAAAGGTCCGGCGGCTGATGGTGGACCATTGTGGTGATTACACAACCTGTCTACCCGACGGCCAGGATGCTTATCAGGAATACCACCCAGCAAAAAACTGCGAGACTAGACTAAAGACGTTAGATTCTCCCCCTGAATAACTCTTGCCACACCTCCCATCTATGGTAAGTGCTGCTTATCGTAATGAACGCGGCGCACTTCGTGAAAGAGAAACAATTTAAAAGATACAAAAATTTCTGACTTCGGAATCCAAGTTCGCCTGCGCACAACTGCTACAATACTTCAAAGAGAACGTAGAGTCTTTGTGGGGAAAAATGCGCGAAGCCTTGACACATTACTCAGCCATACCTACTTACTAACATTATATTCAAACGCTTCCCAGTGGTGGTTGCGATTAACCATCAATAAACCGTTTAGTTGAAGGTTTTATGATAGCGCGAACGCAGAATAATGTTGCATTACGTCAAAAAATCACAAAAGCGAATAAAAAGTTGAAAAAATCGGGAGATCGGTAAGCGTGGGCGGTTCCTTAATTTGCGCCCACACTGTACTATACGGCGCTAAGTTATTAAATATAACAATTCTCTGCTGTCTGCATGTAAAATCAAGCAACTGAATCCCCGCTAAGAACCTTGAGCAGTAAATCGATTTCTACTTCACTGTTCTTTCCTTTCATTCGAATATTCTACGGCGGAAAGAATTTAAAACTAGGCATGCAACTCGTAAAGAAAGTACTAACGTTTTCTATATGGTTCGTCTCCATAGGTGCCATTCCAGAAACCTCGTCTCTTATTGTACTTGCTTGAATACCATGGCCTGCCTTCCTCGTTGAATCTGTGGAAAAATAAGTTACAAAGAACGTATAAGAGTCCTCGATCGTCGCGCGATTCGCGCAGTTAAAAGTCGCAAGTGCTCCGTCCGAACATTTGAAATAGTGAATATAAAACAAGTAGAATCATGAACAGCCGTCATTCAATCATCACTATCAAGCAGAAGTTGCGGTGGGACTGGAAAGCATCTCGCGGTATTGTCGGGACATTTATGATTTCTGTGATCCGTCGCGCAATTCGCGTGAATTGCGCGACTGGTCGCGGACTCTGACACCAGCCTAAGGCGATTACGAGCTAATCGGTAGACAAATAGCGACATAGACAAACGGATTACAAAAGCTATCTCATAATACTAAAAAATTTCTTACTTTGCAATACGATCGATGGCGATCTGAGCATCTTCCATCGCCGGATCAAACATTAGTACAACAACTTCCAGAAACTCGGATACTACTGGCATTTCCATCACAGCTGGAAAATGACGGCATAGTGACAAATAAACTGCTGAATGAGCATGAAGTTCATGCCTTTAAGCTCGAGAAAAGTTTCAATCGGGACAGCTGCTGTTCCCTCTCCCCTATTCTGACGGAGATGTTTTGCATGCCTTTGTTGCATCACTTCATCAGACGGAACAATCGTTACGCACTAAAACAAGTGGTCATAGCAAAATAGAGTCAAATCACGAAAAACTCATGAAAACCTCATTACCTGTGTGCTTGAGCGCAGGATAAATATCAAACGATTGGTACTGAATTACACCCGGAAATTTCCGGAGGCTCAAACTTAGTTCCCCTCCCCCTCATAGTCTGGTTCTTGAGTGTAGGCAAAGCTTTCCTTGATGTCACAGCCATCAATTCATCACTATATCGAAGTGCTAATGCCTGCCTATGGCTGAAATGAGCGGAGCCTATCTACTAACGGAACGTGCCTTTGACTGAGCGGTGCTTATATCAAAATTTCAAACTCTGTTTGATGGCGTTATAAGGACCTAAAGGGGACAGAGCCAGCGAAGGAAGAGAAGCCGAACGCTTATGGTAGTGGGAGCGTGCACCGAGACTGTGGAGCTATCACTAAGATGCAGCTTTTCAATATCGCTGCAGCCCGTGTGACGCGAGCGCTGGTGCGTTAGTAGCTGCCACAAATAGTAGAAACAGATAATACATGAAAATATGCAAGGGTTTCAGCTATCAACTATTAGTTCAAGCAAAATGATGACGCGACTGAAGCCAGGGTTCACTTGGAGTGTACTTCAAAATTAATACCAAATAAGACAGATTTTCGGACAGGGGAACCACAATGAGCTTTTAGCTCAATATCATGCTGAGATATAATCTGTTGATCACCTGTCTGAAAAATCCTTCGAAAAGAGCTAAACGCTTCTTCCGCGTATCTGGATCGCAATTGGTGAAATCGAGGATGTAATTACGTCTACGGCGAGCTGCCAAAGAAAGTAACCAAACAATGAGACTAAACGATATCCAGACATATGTTGTTCACAGCACCTGTTCCGAGCCTTTCCAACTAAACCGAGAACCATATCCCATCGCCCTATATGACTGCTATTTCTTGACACGCCGTTCACCTGCAAAACTGCCACATTTTATTCACCTTTGTGATAAATTCTACAGTGAACAAAAAATGCTTATACACGGCAGACTAATTGCACACAAAAGTTGTCACGATTGGACTACATAGCAAAGCTGTCAAAAAGGAAGTGGTCAACAAAGAGCGTTCCGCCTTTTATCAATGTTTAGGAAGTACATATCATGAAATTAAATTCACCTTCATGGAAGCTAAGATGGTATCAGCACTTATAAGCGTCCAGTGTTCCTTGGGATGCTCACGTATATAACGCCGAACCCAGGTAGTCTTTCCCACACTTGGTAAACCAACCTGTGAAAAAAAAAATATGAGAGGTATACCAGAAAATTTTGATCAATATTCATCAAATCTATTAGTTATATTTTAGCACTTCATCACAAAACAAATAATGAAGTGCACTAGCAGAATATGCATTTCTACATCAATGAAACCTTTATCTAAGAGCTTGTTAGGGCATTCTAACTGCAATCAAAAAGTACTCATACGTTCAGAAATTTTTTAAGAACAAGAGAAACCAACTGAGAAAAATATTTCAGAATCGTAGAAATACGTAAGCAAGAATATAGTTTTCGAGTAAAAGAATATCGTACCATCATAAGTACAGTGCAATCAGATTTACTCTCCGGTGGAATAGGAGCACGCTCCGTTTGTGAGCTTGGAAGAGAGTTTGGAAATGTCCACTCCGGACGCCTTAAATATGCCAGATGAGAGAAAATGAGGTATGAAGACAAAAGCGAGTTTATCTCACTTGAGCCACTCCCCTTCGCCACCGGGAAACGTGCCGAAATTGACGGACACACGACAATTCTTCACGCATATATGAGGGTATACCGCTTCGTCTTCTGGGATTGTCACGTTCGAGAATGCTATCCCCATTGATTCAGAGTTCTTCCAGAAACTAATACTTCCATTCTCGAAATTCTAGATTGAATTTATTGAAAAAAGAGGTTAGAAATCGAAAAATGTCGCTGATGACCCACGAGCTCTGCAGTTATGACATCTCCAACTCCGAAAGAATCTCCGTAGTCAGGAACACTTATTGTTAGCACGTTTCCTAACGAAGGGTGCGGAGTGAGGTTCCCGGGTTACTCTCCCAGCTAAAAATTCAAACTCATCATGGTCAAGAGTAGAGCTACAAGCTGAGAGAGTGCGACGCGAGCGAAGCGCGATGAGGCGGACAGAGAAGCCAACACGAAATATCTGGGGTCCAATCAGTCAAACGGGGAGCCTCTGGGGTAACGAAATCAGTGAATGCTGTGAGAGTGCGAAAGTGTGAGCGAGAGACACTTCGCGCGAGACAGAGAGAGTCGATGCAAGAGATGAGAGAAATTTATACAAGTACTTACTTTGAGAATACATAGAGCGTAAGCTCTGCGTCGTTGTGTCCGGAGCGCGATTCCAAGCTTTTCCGTTAAGCACAATAAAATTTGTACATACAAAAAAAAAGTGCTGCGAATAGTCAGCAAGCACGGTGTCCAAGCTGGGATAGTTTTGTCTGCCGGAGGACAAACAGATAGAATTGTGATACATGAAATGACAGCTATACCAACAATGTTAAAGATTGTGTATACTCACCGACATTTAGGCAGAATTCCATGGGTACTTCCTCACGCCACCCCAAACAAGGGCTAAACCATCCTGATTATCCGGATCAATTATCCAGTCGTTATCGGGCGCTCCTTTGAGATGCAGATCTCCATTGTCTGAAAACAACAAAGTACTAACTTCTCAATGCAACGGAACTGCAGCAAAAAAAAACAGCAAATTAATAAAGCATAATAAATAATAACGGTTGCTTTTGATTCTTGTAGAGAAAGGCACTCCACAGTGTTCTTGTAGAGCCCCAATTCGACAACTGAACAATTAAGTGTATGGTATCCAAAGAACATGCAAGCGGGCATCCCCTTGAAGAGAAAGTGGTTACCCTGTTTTGTTACGTAAGTGACATTGCTCCACGAATCGAATGATATTAAGTTTCCTTTCAACGATGAAGACTACAGCTATGTATCCAAAGATGATTTCCGAAAATTCAGACCATTCCTTATGGTATCCACGCAACTTTTAATAGCAAAAATACTCACAAAAGTCAATCTCAAACTTTTCTGTGGATTCAGGAATCCGTTCTTCAACAATTACTTCCTCCTTCCGTTTAGGCTTAATTCCTGCCGCCACCTGAAATTACCATATCAGATGCTACGCATAGCTTCATAGCAGCTTTGATTACCAACAAAACTGCTAGCTATTCAAAACGTTATTTGAGTTTATATTATAGTAACCTCGAAAAGCTCGTCATCGTCCGGAACAGGTTCCCCATGGAAGCTATCCATAGGTTGTATGCACTCTTCTTCTTCGTAGTCATCGTCATATGGCATCTGCGTATACTGGGCTCCTTAAATTATGATTCTGAGCAGCTTTCATTTTTTAAATGATCAACCTACACTCGTAAAACATGAATCAAAGACAGAAGACTTCTCAGTAGCAGAAGGATGGAATAATAATAAGCTCACAAATACTGAAAACTAGTACTGACGACAGTCTCACAATACTCACTGTTTGGCAAAAACATGTATACGATCAGCTATGCATGTTTCTCAATTAAAAAAAACCATAATTTTATATGAACTACAATAGAGTGGTCTAGTATGCGCAGACGTGCTAATCATATAGCGCAGATATATGAAAGGAGATCGATGATAAGCAGCACACGAAAAACAGGCCAGAAAAGACATTGAAGAGGAAGAGCAATAAAAAACAAAAAATGAAACGCAATAAACATAACGAAGAGAAAAACGGCTAACAATAAGCAGGCAAGCAAAAGGAAGAGCGGATTGACACTAGAAGAATATGAGAAGAATTTTTCAATTCAAAGCTCTGAATTTTTCAATCGCAACTAATATCTTTACATGACTCTCAATCTCTCAAGCTCTCCCGATTCTGCATTCTACAACCAACAGCAACATTTCCGCACCAGAGTGCGGTAGATATTGAGGGGAAAATGGTATCCAAATAAAGATAAAAAAGAAGAGGAAAATAGAAGTTAGAATTGAGCCACAAACGCAAAAATTACAAAAGTAACTCAGATAACAAACTTTCAAAAAAAACATCATTTTATCTCTACACCGGAAAACTCTACACTCTACAAGTAACAAGGAACAACTATAAGTGAACATACCCTGTTCTTTTCCCAAGCCCTGCAAAACAGCGGAGGCACGTTGAAGTAGGTGACGGGGATTATCCAAAATCTCTCGGTCGCTAAAAAATTAATGATCTTCGTCATAACGCCCTCAAAACTCACAAAACTATAAGCGAAGCGAATGAAGTCACCAAAAAAATCTCGTTAAATTACTCACGGTTTCATTTCGACTTCCTCTTCGTCAGCTTCATTCCGTGTTGAGTTGTCAAGAGGCTTCTTAACTCCGTCATCAAGCTGAGAAGTGATTGAGCTAACTTCATCAAATCTTTTGCGCGTATGTCGCACTACTTTTATAAGACGCCCATTTTCGTCATGACGCATAAAGGTGTTCTGATCAGGAACCCCATCATCACATTCAGAATCGTCATCTGAATCAGCAATAGACTGGATATCACTATCGCTGTCCTCCGTAATTTCGCCTTCATCGTCGTCCTCATCGATATGCAACCCCATGTTAGAACTTGGAGAGTACTGCTCCTGCTCAGCAGAATTGATCTGCTCTGGTGAAGAAGTAAACGAAGAATTGAGCTCCTGGAAAGGAAATAATCGAAAGCTATCAAGAGCAACACTAGTCGGGAAAAGGTAATCGCTAACATCAAGAGTCACATTACGAGCAACAACAGCAGACGGCACATAAGCTTCGAATTCCTCAACAACTGTGTCATCCAACGGATCGTACTCCTGAAGAATGGAACTCTTATGTATTAATCGTGAAAGAGTAGTTAAAAGATAAAGAGCCAACTATTAACTCACTTCCTCGTCCTCTTTAGGAACATCCTTTTGTGGCTCCTCTGACGAGCTACTCTTCTCAACAGATCTTTTCTCAGCAGAAGCGTCGGCACAGTTCGGTGATCCATCATTTGATTCAGGAGCAGCAGTACGTTCAACGCGCTGCGAAAATGGCACAGGAACCTGCAACCACGAAGAACACATCAGCTTCGAACTACTAACGTAAATTTGAGCCATACCTCCTTGTCGGGTAATAACTCTCCACTTATTTCATCAAATGGTTTTATGGATGACACTAAGAAGACCACATGTTCCAAACACGTTTTTACATCAGCCAGTACTTGAAATAAAAAGGGTGATATACTTTCCGCGTACGAAGTCCGGAGTTATAACTAAGCTCACCTGCGAGATCATCGATTTTACTGCTCTCAGCTGGATGTTCCCTGCAAGAAGTTATACAGAAAAAGGTCAACTCATACGGTTATACACAGAAATCTAAACATACTGACAGTCTTAGGGGTACACCATCATGAAGGAGTTGCAATAAGAAATTACCCGGACAACTCCTAATCAACAAACGGAAGGACTGGTACGAAAATTAATATTTTGTCGCTTGACAGTTATCACCCCTTGCCATCCCACCACAATTCACACTGATCATTTCTGACAGAGGGCCACATATAAAGCATGACCAAGAAAAATAACATAAGAATTGGATCAAAAACTAGTCCAAAGTGGGCAAAGTTTTAGCAAGTCTGCTGACCATATACCAAGAATTTGATAACAAAAAGTAGAAAGAAACTGACTGCTTAGGTTCAACAAGGCCACTTGCATCCTTATTCATCGTTTCTTTCTGAAACAGAGATATTGCAACAATGAAATGCATGAATATGCTACTGAAGTTATGAAAGACGTAAGACGTACATTAACCGTAGAAGAGCGGGTCGGCTTAAGTCGTTTCGGAGGCGGAGGAGGTGGAGGAAGATCTTCCAAAACGCTCGCTTTGAGACGACGTGGTGGTGGTGGAGGAGGAACATCCTTTATTGGAGGTTGTGGAGGTGGCGGAGGGGGAGGTGGAACAAGAAGGTGCACCATATCAGCGCTGAGTGCTACACCTTTCTTGGGAAGATTCGCGTGCTGTTGAACAGGCTTCGGCGGAGGTGGAGGCGGCGGGAGGAGTGACAAGAACTGAGGACTCTTGGGAGAACTTTTCGATGAACTTGATTCGGAGAAGGTTTGTTCAAAGCGCCTGTATGCTTCCTCAGCTGCACCCGTAAGATCTGGAAGAAAGAACAATCTCACTCGACAAAAGAAGTATCATATGTACATTCAAACCGATAGTGTCTGCTACTCACCCTGCCCTTTGTCCACATGTGGATGATCCAAATTTTCTTCAGATGGCTCAACCCGTGGAACGACTTTGACGGGTTCAGGTGAACCTCTATCTTCTGACCTCCTCATTGTTTGCAGAAACTCCGACTGCTGGTTCAAGATTGAATCTAACAAATCGAGCCTTTCCGCTGCTCTCGCAACTGTGCTACTCGATTTCCTTACGCTGCCTGGTGTGGAACTTGGAGCTAAACATTTGTGCTGGCATTCTAATGTGGAAAGTAAATAATGTTCCTACCGAAAAAATCAAAATCTTACCAGTGGAAGATACGGATGCCTTGGTAGTTGTTGATTTGCGGCGCATTTCCACATCGCGTTCTTTTAGTTTGTCTTTTACAACAGATCCGGTAGAATACTTCACTGGGTCAGCTTTCTTTAACTGCAAATATAGTAGAAATACTAACAGCAAACATGGCCGTATGGACGAACATAAACCGAAATATCACTACAAAAAAGGACGTCGAACCTCAGCCAACCGCTCAGCCCATGCCTCAGTAATTGGCTTCGCTGCATTCAATCTATCAGACTTCGAAGAGCTGCTCAGAGAGGAAGGCCTGGAAAGCGGTCATTATAAATAAACCATCTCATTTTCGAAGAGAAGAAAACATTTAGTAGAACTGCAAGCTCTATATGTAGAAATATTGCACTTACTTCTTTTGGTGGTGCCGGTCTTCTTCGTCCTTCTGTGAAGATATTTTCTTTGCTGTAATAAGAGCTTAAGTTGCACAGATATATTTCACTTCCGTTGCAAAATTCTAGTATATAAGCATAAGGCCTGTCCAAAGCAAAAAGACTGATTCTCATCCCTTTTTATTTGATCCCGGAACCAGAAAAATCTTATCTTATATTGAATGAAGCTTTATAACTTCTTTTCAAAACTTCAAAGCATCTTAGATATGATGGCCCTTCAGGTTTTCTAAGAAATCCCTGTATTGAAACTGAGACTATGTAAAGCAACGCAGCTAACAGATCTTCAACAAACTTACATGAAGAAGTCGCTCCAAGCGCAGTTGAACTAACAGCACTGGAGGACCTGAAAAAATATTCATTTATGCGCAAGGCAATTGGAAAAAATTATGCAAACTACGAACTTTCTATGAGTGCCGAGAGGTTTCCCAGCGGGAGGAGGTTTCTCATCTGCGCTAGAGTCGTAAACTGAAAGTATCAAGTTTTTTGACCATAACACAAATCCTTTCAACTACAAGATTAAAGAAAGATAGAAACATAGTACGACGAGCGAGCTCAAATGAAATGTTACAGGCCTGCTGCTTCAAGATTCACTAATGTTCAAATGAATGTGAGCAAACCTACCACGAAAATTTCCAGGCCTTCCTCTCTGAGCAGCTCTTCGAAGTCTGATAGATTGAATGCAGCGAAGCCAATTACTGAGGCATGGGCTGAGCGGTTGGCTGAGGTTCGACGTCCTTTTTTGTAGTGATATTTCGGTTTATGTTCGTCCATACGGCCATGTTTGCTGTTAGTATTTCTACTATATTTGCAGTTAAAGAAAGCTGACCCAGTGAAGTATTCTACCGGATCTGTTGTAAAAGACAAATTAAAAGAACGCGATGTGGAAATGCGCCGCAAATCAACAACTACCAAGGCATCCGTATCTTCCACTGGTAGAATATGATTTTTCGGTAGGACATTATTTACCTTTCCACATTAGAATGCCAGCACAAATGTTTAGCTCCAAGTTCCACACCAGGCAGCGTAAGGAAATCGAGTAGCACAGTTGCGAGAGCAGCGGAAAGGCTCGATTTGTTAGATTCAATCTTGAACCAGCAGTCGGAGTTTCTGCAAACAATGAGGAGGTCAGAAGATAGAGGTTCACCTGAACCCGTCAAAGTCGTTCCACGGGTTGAGCCATCTGAAGAAAATTTGGATCATCCAACATGTGGACAAAGGGCAGGGTGAGTAGCAGACACTATCGGTTTGAATGTACATATGATACTTCTTTTGTCGAATGAGATTGTTCTTCTTCCAGATCTTACGGGTGCGGCTGAGGAAGCAGACAGGCGCTTCGAACAAACT